CCCCCCCGAGCCTGCTAGGAGGCTAATTTTCTAGCCTGGATTCCAGTCCCCGGCGCAACACGATACATCATAAGCTTCGGCCGGGGAAGACACAAGCCCTACCCTGGAATCCAAACTCGCTGTCCGGGCCGCAAAAGCCCTTCGCCCGCTGGTGTAAATTACCGCTACGGGGGAGTCTAGCCCGGGGGGAGTTTGGCTGGACCTAGGGCCAGCCAACTCCCATCGGGCTCAACTCCTCCGTAGCGCTAATTTAGGCAGGCGGGCGAAGGGCTCTCGGCTGCCAAAGGAAAACGGCTAACGGCCCGATACTAGTTTGGCATCCAGGGTACACAAGCCCCGATCCCAGAATTGACTCCCGGGGTCCAATTTATCTCTCGCACCGGGTCTAACCGAGGGGAGTCTATGGTAAAATTTCATTGTGGACAGCTACATGTAGGCTCTGGAGCCCTTGGCGAAGTCTGGTACCCAGGCTACTAACTCTCACGCCCGTAAACACTGTGCGGACAAACACACAATAGACATCTGTAATAGTTTGAAGCCCCTTTGTTTTTATTTCGAAAGCTTTCCTGTAATCTAAAAATATTTCATCGTGACATATAGACCCAATCACTCCACACACAACTCACATATCCATGCGTTTTTACTTTAAGGGTCAGACTCGGTGACCAAAATGACACTTTAAGCCTAAACAGACACCCTATATATCATCGACACACATCTAGAAGCCTGTAGGATATAGGTATAACATATCTTAATTCCCACCGGGAGTTTTGTTCACGATCTGTTCCTAATATTCGTTGTGGGCTCGGTAGCTCAAGAGAGCTTTGCGACCAAAGCCTAAATAATCTTTTCCAAGGATACTTGGAATTTCCAACATGTGTTATTTTATGTTGGCGATTTTGATACCATTTTTAAAATTGTGGAGTTCTAAAATATGTCTTCGGTGAATTTTTAAGCTGGTTTTTGTTTCAGATTGTTCTTGAAACAAGACAAGTGGTCTCTGTATTTTCAGGCGTGCGAAAGATCAGATTTTCACCCCAGTTTGGAATTTCTCGATTAGTTGTCTTCAAGTTCAAAAGCGGATACTATGTTGCCCTCAACCTCTAAACATACTTGCTTCCGGCGACGAAACAGTCCGGCCGAGAATCACACGTGAAACACTCAACTGGACTATTAAAATTCTAAACGTTGGTACAAAGCTGGTAGGAACCATACAAAACGTTGTAAACTTTAAAACGTACCTCCTTCGCATGTTTTCAGTAGAAGTAGAGCGCTGAAGAACCAGCACAGTGCCCGCTTCGCCATTTCGCAGGGAAACAATTCGTCACAGCCACTGAAAGAGAGTCAGTCAGTCGCTGGCTTTTCTTCTGACGATGGAGGGCGGCCTTGTTGTTGTGACGAAAGTGATTTCTCTTCTTGCCCTCTCGTGATCTCTTCAAACATGTGGTTCGAATCAGCTTCCGTGGGCGACGCTCCAGAGATACGCAACTGATACTAGTATCTGCGACTGTCCTTGATAAGAAGTTTTACCGCTCCTAGTTCTGGAGACAAGTGGGAATCGAACGTTCAACCCGTGTCGAAGCGGTGAAGAATCTCTCTCCCCACCGTTGGTGGCAGTATAATGACGGGGTACTCTGTCACACGACTCCCTTTATAAGTGATGCGGGTGGAAATTTGAATCGGGGGGTGTGCGGTCTTGCGTGGAACGACGGGATGACAACTCTCTTTACATCAGGAAGCTACGCGTGACTTATGGGGGCTTTGCTGAGGTAAAAAGCCGCTATGGGGTCTCCGATTCACCAGACAGCGGATAGATTTTATCAGACGACACATGCATTTATTTAGACTGACAACTCACTCGGATCTCTGTGTTGTTTGTTGCTTGATGCACCGTTTTCAGACGATATACCAGACAAAGAAAGCACTTAGCGATCGTTTTGCTGCCGTCACGGTCGCTTGCAAACGCAAAGTCTTGGCAAGTTCCGGAACGAATGAATCGGCAGATTAGCGTGGGATTAACTCACGATCACGAGTCGAGGAAATTAAGAAAAGGAAAAGAATCCTGAGCATCAGGAAATTCTATATTTACTGACCTGGAATTTTTGTCAGGAACTTCCAATTTGACCCTAATGCCTTCAAATTGGATTTTAACAACATTGCTATCGTTTGGGGACGAATTGTACAATGTAATTTAGTACCCCAGGGAAGCAATAGAGATACTGCAAAGAAAATCGTATATTTGACTTTTAGAAGATTATATTCACTTTGCTTACCCTAAATTCATTTCAAACGTCAAAAAACGACATTGACAAAGATCATAACAAGAGAAAGAACACATTTTTTGCTGTAATATGATAGGTGTAATTTTGTTTCGGCTTTAACTCCAATTCTAGGGGATCTCGATTGTAATCTTTCTGAATCATTTATTGAGACGATAAAGTATAATGGGGGTCGTTTCCACCAAATCGTCTGCAGTGATTTGATTTGTTTCAAATACCGCATTAAGCTTGGCCAGGGAAATATGCAAGATGTGTACACATGGGGCTTTACCTAAGTAAGGTTAGAAATGTGTCAAAAAAGGGGGAGGGGGGCGTAAGAGCAGTGTGGTAAAAAGTTACTGTGACGACCTTAAAAAAATGATAAATTTACTCGCAAAAGGGTGGAATTCAGTCAAATTCTGTACCTCTCTAAGTAAGGTTAGAAATGTGTGAAAAAGGGGGAGGGGGCGCAAGAACATTGTGGTAAAAATTTACTGTGATGACCTTCAAAAATGATAAATTCATCGATCACTCGCAAAAGAATGGAATTCAGTTAAATTCTGCACCTCCCTAAGTAAGGTTAGATATGTGTCAAAAAAGGGGGAGGGGGTTGCGCAAGAACATTGTGGTAAAAATTTACTGTGATGACCTTTAAGAATGATAAATTTATTCGCAAAAGGGTGGAATTCAGTCATATTCTGCACCTCCCCAAGTAAGGTTTAAGATATGTGTCAAAAAAGGGGGAGGGGGGCGTAAGAACATTGTGGTAAAAAGATACTGTGATGACCTTTAAAAATGATAAATTCACTCGCAAAAGGGTGGAATTCAGTCAAATTCTGCACCTCCCTAAGCAAGGTTAGAAATGTGTGAAAAAGGGGGAGGGGGCGCAAGAACATTTGTGGTACAAGTTACTATTATAATGACCTTCAAACTGATGAATTCACTCGTGAAAGGGCGGAATTTAGTCAAATTCTACACCTCCCTGGTTATTACTGAATCGTCCCCAAAGGACGTTTCGCAAGAGGAGTTTTACAGGTATACGTATGTTTTAGAAGAATTTAATTGCTAGGAAGGCGACCGTTACAGTCTGAAATAGGGAGATCGAGTCTTTGTCAAACAGATCGTTGAAACAAATAAAATGGCGGCTTGAACTGTAATCCCTAGAACGACTAGATACTAATATTAGTGACATAAACGAGGTCTAATACTTTTCTGAGACTATCCGTTCCTTGGGTATGGGATACAAAGGCAAAGAAATATGGTAGGAAATAAACAAGGAAATAAACAAAGATATGTAACACCGTAGCCGATCAAAAATGAATTTGAAGTCATAAGATGTCTAACCGATAACTAAATGTGCAAATCATAAGGAAATACCATGTCAGAATTGGTCTGAAATGTACATACAAACATAAAATCTATTTCTGTACGTTTTTGTGTGTAAAGAACCCACATGTCATGTAAAAGAGGCTATATCCAAGATTTGATGAAAATTTCTCAAACCTTTATCAAATTACTCGGCAATTTAGCATCAGCATAGCGTAAAAGTATTCCTGCTATGAAAAACAATTATGTGCGGGAAATTAGGGACACGACTTCTCAACATGCCACAAATGCTGCACCAGATACTACTGTATTATACTATTATACAACTGATGGTGTACTGTTACACAAGCTTCGACTTTAGTATTCAGGGAATGCAATGGCCAGAATATCGGTCTAAAAGGGAGACACCAGCAACAAGAAAGGATTGTATACACACTTTTGTTTATTTATTTATGAAGATTTGCCACATTTGTTGAAAGAATATTGACATAACAGGTGACTATCACCTCTTAAAGATATCAAACCTGAGACCAGACTGTAAGGTTTGAACCACTCACACCGGGAAGGTCCCCTACTCTTTTGATTTTTGATTTGATTTTATTGAAATTGCAGCAATGCAATACACGCGGAGCAGAGGCATCTGTTGCTGGTGTTGTGTCCCGCACATAGAAACGGATACTGGACAGACAATACTCATTTTCACTTGAGTCTAGTGGGGAAAGTCGTGTTAAGTGCCTTTCCCAAGGGCACAAGATCGGTGGCATGTCAGGACTCGAACCCGGGACCTCAATTGATTCCGAGTCGCGCACCCTGCCATTGCGCCACACGACCCACTCTTTTCTATATAAAGTGTTGGGGATCTTTGTTTGATTTGTTCAACTAAAACAGATAGAGGTTTTAAGAGCCAGATTATGGCCTATTGAAAAAAGACAAATCTAATATTTTTATGACTGTTTCTCCTTCTTGTGTTAGATAACAGCTCGAGAATCGTGGCTTTTTATTTAGGCTCTAAGTTATGCGCAAATTATGCGCACGATTATGCACGAAATATAATTGGTTTTCTCCCTATTATTTTAGGATTTATATAAGGCCACATCGACTTAATTTTATGGATGACATTCTCCGAAGACCCCCAAACTAGTGCGTACGGGCGAATAAAAAGATTCCGGCCAAAAATAAAAAATGCTACTAAACCACAGGAATACAAAGCTTAGGTATTGTGAATTTGCATCTGTACGTATACGGCAAGCCGGCACAGGCTGGCTTTTTACGAACTATGTACTGAGTTCTTGCCGTCGTGGAGCTTCGGTAGCCTGGGTGCCATCCTCCAGAGTTACCACTGGCTCAGTATTGTCACTAACTACTAGTACCATGGAGTACCCAGGCCTAGAGCCAGGCCAGAGCCTCTGAGGACGTGATCTTTTTTTTTTTGAGAACAGGCGAAAATCAATGCGCGCGCGGATGTCATCCATAAAATTAAGGCGGTGTGGCCTAACGTACACGTGTTATTGAATAAATCACTAGAGAATCATTCTTATTCATGTAGAGAATCATAAATGTGCATATAGCCTGGAGTGAGAAATTATGCGCCAAGCGTCATGGTGGTAAATTGATGACGTCTTTACCGACCTACAAACGTAAAGAAAATCACCGAGCAGATCGTTTAGTGGCCCCAAGACATATACGGTATCTTTTTTTTATTTCATTTATTCCAACATGTAATCACCAGACGTGGCGACGACACACTCAAGTTTCTTCAACTTATATTAATGCCGCCACCAACACAGGGGACAAATACATTGCAAGACAATACTCATTTACACCTGAGCTAAGTGAGGAAAGCCGTGTAAAGTGCCTTTCCCAAGGGCACAAGATCGGTGGCATGTCAGGACTCGAACCCGGGACTCTTAGTTCCGAGTCGCGCACTCTGCCGCTACGCCACACGACCCCACATTATTATACGGTATCTAATTGGCCAGGCAGTATCAAATTTGCCCAATTAAACAGTATCGAATTCGCGAATTGGCAAGATAATGTATAAAATTGAAAATGCAGGATCCACAGTACGCCATTCATATTTTTTTGGCTGGCGAAAAAAAGGAGGCCAGTACCAAAAAGCTAGCCTGTGTAACCCAAGCTCCGGGGGGCTCCCTACATAGTCCGCCACGGGGGCCGGCTGGATGTTGGGCGGCCGGCAAAAGCGATTTAATCAGGCTACCAAAAAGCAAGCAAGATGAAAACCGCTATATACTACGTAGAAAACTACACTCCTCTTAACATCCGAAAACCCACAAATTACTGAAACAGTGGGATCCTTTGCCTTCCTCTGTCTTCAAAACAGAAGTCAAACCCAGTAGTTTTTACTAGTAGCTATCAGTAGTTCTATGTGTGCTAATCGCCTGTTTTTATACGTTCTTCTGTTCCTGCAATTAGCCCTCGGCAAGAATTTGCAATAAACAATTTATTAAAAACACGTCAAGAAATAAGCCGAAGCCTGAATCTCTGCTTTTAAGGCACTTATAAATATCTGCTGTTCAAAACACACATACAACAAAAACATGCAAACTAGATGCTGTATTGTCAGTTTTGTAGCCCGCAAAAAAGCCAGAATTAGATGATTTTTTGCCCTTAAATCTAACTATCAGTGTTGCTATAAGAAAATATGGGAGGGGAGGGGGGCGTTTTAGTATAAGTTACTGACATGTCTTTGAAGTCAGTATACGGCACGACTTTCGTGTAAAAGGTACTTTCTTGATATTAGGTATTGTAGATGAATACTAACTGCAGAAAGTCTGTTCTCTATTTTTGACTCTATAAACAATATATTAATCAGACGCAAATTTGTGATCCCTTTTACTCCCCCATTTTCCTCGTTTTGTACATGTTTACGCCTTTTATGTTTAA